GATAGCAGGGTTATTAATGAGGTACCAAGATAGTCTCCAAAGATGCTGTCTAATCTGAACATGGATCACATTTGGAGGACAGCAATTAGTTCTGACACAAGGAACACTGGCAATGAATGGCACTAAGGGCAACGTGGGACAATACACAGAAGGTCTGAAAGTTACACTGCCCTGAAGGAAAAGATGAGTTTCAACTGTAAGCTTTGTAAGGACATTAATTCTGCTACTGTTTGTACCTTCACTAAATAACACGTTCATCCTTACCAGACATTGCCTGAAGTCTGCAACAGCAATATTTTAGCACAGGGGGAAAATATAAATATTTGCATATTAAGTAGCATGGAAAGGATTGTCATGTTTCAAATCTGAAACAAAATTTAGATCTTTGGAAACCTAGGTTCCTCCACACAAGCACTGCATTAAGAATTTTTCAAGAAGACTTACACTTTCTTTATAATGGTACATTTCCTGGGTTTTGGGTTAGCTGTCTCATGGAACCAATGATGACCAATGAAACAATGGTCAGTTGTTGGACTGTTGTTACAGTCAAATTCACTAACATGAAGGGAGATGACATCACAGGGGAATTTGGCCCCAAGTACACATTTCTGCTGCCTAATACAATTGCCAGAAAAACATAACCACCCAGCACACAGGGGCAAGACCACACTCCTGTTTACTTATGGTGCCAAGCAGCGTGATGCAGGCAACACTGGTGGATGGCCCTGTGGCTCCATCTGCTGCCAGGGAGGTAAAATGTTTCCCAGCAATTAAAAAGCAACTTGGCTTTTCAGAAGCAACTTTAAGTTTCTTGAGATTCATACAAATTGTTATTTAAAATGATCAAACATTTAATTATGTCAAGTACTTATATAGCTGCCTTTCTGAACAGCATGAATTAAGACTGAAACTTTGTTAGGCAAAACCAGAAACACTACTTAGCAAACTTCTACACTTTCTGCTACTGCTACATGCAAAAAATCAGGGTTTAGGAGGAGATGGGGTACACCCTACCAAGGCTTCATGTAGCAGAATGTGTCCCCAAAGGAGGGGACAGCTATATGATCTAGGTGGCTAAGGTGAAAGTGTGCTTTTCACCTAAATGAAGGAACTGAGCAGAACCCAGCTCCGAGTGAGTCTGCAGATATCCTTCTTTGCTGGAGGGTGCTAAGTCTACACAGCATATTCTTTCTGATCAGACTGAGGTGTAACTATAAGAACAGGCTATGACGCATAGCCCTACCTGCTGCAGCACAGACTCGCCTTGCAGCCTCTGCAGGTTTTCCAGGTGGGAATGGAACAATGGGCTGTGCAGCAGCTTTACCTCCAGCAGCCCTTCGATGATGTAGCCAATAGTGCAGTCGTCAGGAAGTCGTACTCTTTCTGCAGTACTAATGAAATTGCCCAGGCTGTGGCAGAGAGCATAGGAGACAAGCCAAAATGCGCTTTAAAAACTCCCAGACATGTACTGATGGAGCTCAGCTAGGAACAATGCTTACCTGGCCCAAGGACTCATCTTCAGAGCAAGACCTCGGCTGATACAGAACCCAGCTCCACCTGTGGCAAACCAGAACTTCACGGTTGTCTTCTGAAGAGCAAAAAGAAAAAACACACAGCAGTTACTGATAATCAGCTTTTTGCATTTAGCTGGGCAGGGAACTCAAGGTTCTGTTGGATATCACATATTACATCTAAGTCAGAACAAGGCTACAGATGAATCCCGATTTGTTTAGGCTGCTGAGAGCAGCTAGCTGTTCTCTTAAATGAAACTATCTTGAAACAGACACCAGGTGAACCACCAAATTAGCATAAAGGAGGTAGCACACATGAAATGGAAAATGATAGTCCCACTTGCACACAATTACATCTGTTCCCTATTCATTTTAACCAAGGGTTACCGGCAGCTCAGTGTTACTGAGGATGTCAAAGGTGGTCCATATATATATTGGCTCCATGACCAAGGAGAATATTTTGTTGTGCAGTCTTCCCTAACAAGCTGCTTTATAACTGACCTTCTGGCCAGTGGATTGATACATCTTTAAAGAGACCTGCCAGCACTGGCGACCTGGTTAGGACATTTTCCTTAGCACATGGATTTTGTGATTGAGATGTGTTTGTTTCTGGTTCTTGGAAACCTAGTAACCTCTTATATTGGAAATTTGGAAACCTAGTAACCACTTACATTGGAAATTTGGAAACCTAGTAACCACTTACATTGGAAATTTGGAAACCTAGTAACCACTTACATTGGAAATGCTTTATCTATCCAGCAAGCTTTTGTCACCCATGTGAAGTTGGTTCAAGATGATGACAATGTGTGTGACACTGCACTTAAAACAAATAAAAAACCCCTCGAACTTCCACCCAAACTCCCAAGGCCTAAAATAAGGAACACTGGTGCAAAAGCCACTAAAGGAAGAGTCAAGGTGGGGACGCCCTACTAAGCTCAGTATGAGGGAGATCACAGCATATGTGAGTAAAGGAACAGAAACAGCCATCCAGGAGACAACCTCTGTTTTGCATCCATGTGCATACAACATCAGACTGAAGGTGCATTTAACCCAGCATCCCACCTCTGAAAATGACCATCACCAGCTTCATTTCTTGCAGATTAAATCACTTGGGTTCGTGGGGGAATCCTATGAATTGCCAAGGTTTTAGAGGCTTAGAAGACTGGGATGTTTCTCAGACAAACTGAAGAAGTTTGCTTACTGATCCATCACTTTGGACATGGTCAGCTGCTTCGATGGGATGGTCCAGACTCGGTCGCCCCACATAGACATCCTGGCTGTGTGAGAAGGCAGACAGGAGATGTAGCAGAGTCCGAGGGTTCACGTAGTTGTCATCGTCCACATGGCAAAACCATCTTTAAACAAAACAAAGCAAGAAGTTATAGGGACAAAGAAATGAGTTATAGGTTTACAACTGAGTCATAGTCTTTCAGGCTTGGAGCAGAAAGCATTTCTTATTGTCCCAAATTACAGAATAGGAAAGATGAAAGCACCCACAGATGCTAAGTCTGCAAAGAGGCTGAAATTAATAACCTCCTTGGATTATAATCCTTTCCACCTTTCAGATGATGCTTGTTTATAAACACTGCTTCATGCTGTGTTCCCTTTCCTGCACTCATCCCTACATTTTAGCTAACACTGCATTCCTTACTGAACAGAGATGGTTACTCAAGTTTCCTGTAAGCACAGGACTGGAAGAAACAAAGTCAATTGGAACAATGTGTTTCACTTACTTTTGCCCAGATTCCAGGAATTTATCATATTCCACAGACATCTTGCAGCAGAGAGCTTGCCGGGTATGGACAGCAGAACAGTTGGTGTTGATCATATGATCCCCTAGAAGAACAAAGATTAGCCCTTTCAGGTCTGAGGAGCACGTGCAGTCAAAAAAAAGACTACAAAAGAAGTGCACATTTGGCACTAATACTGCACATTTGAGGTGCACATGGTGCATGCATGGAGAAGAAACTGCAGGACAGGCAGGGCTGACAGGTTACCCATCTGGCATGTGAGCTGCAGAGGTCATAAAATCCTGTGACTGCATTAAACAAGCGAGGTTTTGTGTCATGAGATGTGTGTGAAAGAAATACCTACTATGACTTTGGATCACATAAGCTTACTAACAAGAAGAAAAGGGCTGCAAAAGTGAACCCAGTATTCTGGAAGTTCCAGGTATCTTGTCCAGGTGGCAATTAGAGAGAAATTTTCTCTATTTTCTCCATTTTAACTTCCCTAATTGCTTGTACAGCATGAAATAAAGACTTCTATAGAGAGTATGAAAGAAACAAAACTCAGTTATAACAGACAGCGGGCACCTCTGCTGCTACACAGCTCACCTGCTTTCAGGCGCAGCTCCCGATCCTCCCAGTCCGTGAATATAAATGTCTGTGGGAGACAAAAACAGTGTGTCCACATTTAACAACTCCAGATTCTAATTTTAAATGTGCTCATTTTCAGTTAGAATTCAGAATGTTTCATCTCTCTTGATAGTTTGTTTCACAGTAGCCACTGGAATGGGGGAGGGAGTAGGGGCACAGAGACGCCCAGCAACTTCAACCCCTGCCTTATTTGTTACATTTTTTCATTACAAACTAGAAGAATGTCATTTTAATAAAGCAGGCTGTATTTTACCCTCCTTGTCTCACAGTACAACTGATTTCCAGACAGAAAGGATTTGGGTCTTTTTTGGTACTACCTCCTCTCTCTGGCTAGGAATCATCCACAGCTGCCAAGCAGGTAAAGAAGAAAGAATGCAAGTCAGGGTGGGAAGTGGCAGGTGGCTAACACAGTCTTGTTCCAGCTGCTGGATAAAATCCCATTAACATACTTGAATCGACCAAAATTCTGAAACAAGGGAATAAATCTTATGCTCTACAGAAAAACGTAAGTACTTAGTCCAAAATATCGGCTTAGATCCGTCATCACCAGGAATGTTTCACTATCATGAAAGCACCTTCTAAGACATACAAAAATCAGCAAACTATGTCTGGTTGGACTACCGATGCCATACTGCAGCTAACTGGCCTAATCAGCAACGAGCTCTTTTGGAAGCATGTTCACACCAACCGTTTATACAAAACGACTTTTCAAGCCTTACGAAGAAAGCCTCTTTTAACACAAGAAAGAAAAACTCCGTGAGAGTGCCGTAGCTGTCCTGGACAGCGCAGGGCTGAGGCTGGGGCTGCCCCTGCCGCTGGCAGCCTCTCACCTGTCCCCTCGCCTGGGAGATCCAGGTTTGGAGGAGCAAGTCCAGCCGGCTCTTGTGGTATTTCCTCGTGGTCTTCACGGCAATGAAGATGTCCTTGAGCTCCAGGCTCTCCCTGGCCGCGCTGCCGGCGGTGCCGAGGCGGCCGCTCCGCGCAAGCTGCGAGCCGCCCGCGAGGCCTCCGCCGCCCGGCGCTCAGCAGCAGCAGCAGGAGGGCAGCGGCGCCCAGGGACAGCAGGACCCCGGCCCTGCGCAGCCCCAGGCACGGAGCGCTCATGCTGCAGCCCCGCGGGCCCCCGCCGCAGGGTGCGACTCCCTCATGGCCTCGCGCTCCGGGAGGTGGCGGCGGCCCCGCGGAGGGAGCGCCCGGAGGTCGTCGAGCCGCCGCCGCCGCCGCGGGGCCGCCCGGCCCCGCGGCCCCTTTAAGAGCTTCACCTGCTGGCCGCGGCCTCGCCGCGACGCGCGGCCCGGAAACGGAAGCGGAGCGGGAGGGGCGGGCGGCCGGAAGCGGCGGCGTGAGGGGAGGATGCCGCTGCCCGTCCAGGTCTTTAACCTGCAGGTACGGGGCAGCTGCGGCCCGCCGGCCCGGGCCTCGCGCCGCGCCGCGCTTCGCGTCCCTCCCGCGCGGGCTCTGAGACCCCTGCTCGACCGCGGCCTCCGGGGGCGCCGTGAGGCCTTCTCCTTGCGCTGCACGGGAAGGGAGCGGCTGTCGGCTGGCCTTGGGCCCTCGCTCGCCCTTCCCTTGGGTCCGTGTCGCTTCCGCCGCCGTTGGCGAGGAGCAGCGCTCCGCCGAGCACCCTGTGGCACCCGTGGCGTCCCCGCCGCCGCGGTGGCCCCGTGTTTGGTGCCGCGTTGTGCGTGCCGCGGGCAGGGCTGCAGCGGTGCCGCGGGTACGGTGAGATCCCCAGAGAGTTGCTAGTGCAGGGGAGAGCGCCGGGTGTGTCGGTGACACGAGGTACCTGCGAAGGCTGTCCTTTGCAAGTTTTAGCAGTAGCATATCTGTGTGAGGGCGCGGGGCTTTGGGCAGTGAGGAGAGGACGAGGGACAGGTCAGCATCCAACTCAGCCCCTTCGTTAGTGACAGATCTGTACTGCACCCCGTCCAGCAACAGAGCACGCCTATTCCTGCCGAGTACAGCAGGAGATGTCAGCTCAGGCACCAGGATATCTGCTTGTGTGAGGTACCCTCAACAGAGCACCCAGTGGGGCTCAGGAAATCTTGGGGAGTGTTTATTATTTGCTCTGTGAGTAGTTTTTAAGTCAACCTTGCATCTTCCTTTCAAAGTAAAGAGGTTGAAAAGTTTGAGTTTGCTTGTCCTACTGGGGCTTTCAGCCCACTTGTGTTTTTCCTTGTCTGGGAGTTAGGTGAGAAATGCAGAGTGCAGAGTCTCAGCCTAGGAAGACACACATTGTTCTGTTCCACTGGAATTACGGTTGCCTTTGTAATGCTGTTTTCTAAGGAGTCTGTAATTGTGTTTTTACTGTGGCAGGCAAGCACAGCCTAAACAAACTAACCTTGGCACTAAGTGTTTGTGATGTAAGAAAAGACAAAAGGTAGATAAAAGTGGGAAAACTAATGGTCTCAGCATATGGTGAGTTACTTGTTTTTATGCACAGTTTGCCTGAGGGGTGATCTAGACAATCAAAATTTCCTCTGTGCCCTCTCTCCCTCCCTCCCTCCCTCCCTCCCTCCCTCCCTTTCCTTCATGGAAAGGTTAGTAAACTAGGAAACAAATGTTTTTGTGCTTCACTTGCTTTTATTTCAGATTTTGGGAGATTTCAATGGTGAGATATGTATTTGATATTTATCAGTTTGTGAAAGAATTAAGACCTCCAGACTGTGGGTGAGTGTAGTTTTTAGAGATAGGAAATCTGGATCTGCCCTTTTTCTTCTCCCTCCCTCCCTCCCTTTCCTTCATGGAAAGGTTAGTAAACTAGGAAACAAATGTTTTTGTGCTTCACTTGCTTTTATTTCAGATTTTGGGAGATTTCAATGGTGAGATATGTATTTGATATTTATCAGTTTGTGAAAGAATTAAGACCTCCAGACTGTGGGTGAGTGTAGTTTTTAGAGATAGGAAATCTGGATCTGCCCTTTTTCTTCTCACAAAAAAACTCAACCAATCAACCCAGTCCAAAACCCCCTCAATCTCTGATTTCTCAACAGACAGTAAAATCAGTAAAAATATGGAAATAATCAGATGTGTGTGGGGGCAAGGTGGTTGGCATGTCTGCCTTTTGTGAGGTCCACTTTTGCAATTTACACCAAATCAAGCTTATCTAATATGTGCACATTTTATCAGAAGACAGTCTGCTAAGTTTTCCTCACTTTATTTTCTCACAGTAATTCCTAGGAGGACTATTCAGCACACTTTGACTAAGAGGAGACAGAGAATTTTGTGCCAGCAGACCCGTTAGTTTGTGGAATGGGGTTGCAAGCTGGTCTTGCCTGGTTCTGTAGCAATGCAGCTGTGCTGAAGTCACTGCATTGGTGTGAGTCCTTGTGGCTCAAAGCAGTGCAGGATATACTGGGAGAATAAAATTCTGTTGTTTCTCCAAAAGAGGCTCTGTCTGAGCAACTGAACTCAAAAACTATAGTAAAATAGTTTGACTAATGGCAGATCCCTGCAGTGCAGACAAATTGTTCCTTGCTATGCTGGAAACTCTGAAATTGTCATTCTGCATTCTGTTCTTTATGGTTTTTAATACTTCTTAGAAGTGTAACAGTTTTTGCTTCTCCCCCCCCCAATTTTATTTCTAAGCATTAAAGTAATTTTGAAAGGTTGTGGTGAGTTTTTTGGTACATTTTGCCTTTAGGATCTTCTTAATCTGAGTGATAACACCTGCTCTTGCTCAGAGACAAGAAATGGAATGCATATGCGTACCTCAGATACTTTGTAGAATCACATTTATTGACCCCTTCATTTTTTCAATTTGATTTTCAAATTGATATTTACCAACCCAAATAAACTGCTCTGGTGAATGCTAAGCCATGCTGCTGCTTGCATTAGCCATCATGCTCAGTGGTGTTGCTAGAGAAAAGTCCTAAGCATATCAAAAGACTAAGGAGTATTTCCTGCTCAAATATAATAAGCTTCTTTTGACCTTGTTTTGCTGTTTCAGGGTGCAGTGGAGCCCATGCAGATTGACGTAGATCCACAAGAAGATCAGCAAAATTCACCTGATATCAACTATGTGGTGGAAAACCCCACACTGGTACGTGCTGCTGAGGGCTGTGGGTGCATTTCTTGTGTATGGTCTCTTCCTTTAAGAATTTTTGAAAAAAAAACCCCTCTGAAAAATCTTAAAGCTGGTTAGTCTTAACCACAAAAGCATCACAACTGAAATGTTAAAAAGGTAAATTGTAATGTAGAGCATATTTCTGGGGAAATTACTAATGTTTGAAGAAAGCAGACATGGACTATCTTACTGCTTTTTGAGTTGTTTTGCCCTCCTTGAGGGGGTGAGGTGTGCAGGAGAAGCTGTGCAGGTCACAGCGTGGTAGCCTGCTGTGGTGTGTCCATTTGCACCTCCTGAGGCCAGGTTTTGTTGGCAGGATTTGGAGCAATATGCATCCAGCTACAGCGGGCTGATGCGGATCGAGCGGCTGCAGTTCATCGCTGACCACTGCCCGCAGCTGCGCGTGGAGGCTCTCAAGATGGCTCTGTCATTTGTCCAGAGGACTTTTAATGTTGATGTGTATGAAGAAATCCACAGAAAGCTGTCCGAGGCCACGAGGTACTAACAGCCCAGGGAACCTGGGGAGCTTTCCTGACAGAGTTAAGAGTGATGTGCTGCAGTGGAGGACTTTGCATGTAATACCAGCATGTACCTTGCACAAATTGTCTTTGCCCTTAGAATTTAATAGCAGCAAAATGCGTGTTCATGCTTTATTAAAAGATAGAGCACAGAAGGCATTATTTCATTCTGAAATCTTTGTGCTTTAAAAAGCTGCAGGTAGATATTGAGGTGAGTTTAGTCCTTGCAACTGCCTCAGATACTAATGAACATATTTGTTTTCCCCGAGATTATGGAGACTTGTTCTAGATGCTTTTGTTTTCATAAGTTAATACCTAATCTAACTCTTTGCCTTGTTTTGGTTTGTTGTTTCCTTTCTCCCTCCACCCTGCTCTATAAACAGGCTAGCTGTTAAGGATAACCTTTGATATCTCACGTATCCATCCACGCTTCCCATCTTTGCATTATTTTTGTTGTTATGCTTAATTCATGATTTCCTGTCTGTTTTGCATGGGTAGTCTTTACCACGTGTGTGACAGTATGTTCATCCTAAGATTATTAGCATAATTTTGTGAAGTATTTGTAAACATCTGTGATGCTTGTTACTGTTTGCACTGGACGTTTTAAGCAATATGTTTCTTTTCCCCCACTACCCTTATTTTCTCTTTGGCCAATTTTGTGTATGCAGTACTGTTTGTTAAGGTAGCATTGCCAGGCACTTAGCAAACTTCTGTTTTGAAACGTGTTCAGTCCAATAGCCTCATTAAAATACCTTTCTTTCAGAGAAGTGCAAAATACACCTGATGCTGTCCCTGACAGTGGAATTGAACCCCCTCCTCTTGACACAGCTTGGGTTGAGGCTACACGCAAAAAAGCTCTTCTTAAACTGGAGAAACTCGATACAGATCTGAAAAATTACAAAGGAAACTCCATCAAGGAGAGTATCAGGTGAGGTGCATAAGGCTCTGCTGGAGCAAGGAAGAGCATTTTGTTCCTCCATGCACTTAATATGGGATGTGTCCTGAGGTCAGTGTGTTGAGTTACTTGTTTGGGACAAACTGCCTTTGTCCCTTTCTGAGCATGCAGTTCATTGATGTTTTAATTCCCATCCTCCAGGAGAGGCCACGATGATTTAGGTGATCATTACCTGGACTGTGGAGACCTCAGCAATGCTCTCAAGTGTTACTCACGAGCCCGTGATTACTGCACCAGTGCTAAACATGTCATCAACATGTGTCTCAATGTTATCAAGGTAGGAGGAGTTGCAGGCAGAGGTACCTAGGAGGTGTCTTTATGACACCTGCTGTGAAGTTGCCCCCCATACTTGGCTCTTGTGTCCGCAATGATGCGGCTTATCTGAGGAGTGCTATTTGTCCATGCCTGCCCCACACTGTTTCTGGCTCTCTACAGGTCAGTGTCTACCTTCAGAATTGGTCTCACGTTCTGAGCTATGTAAGCAAGGCTGAGTCTACACCAGAAATTGCAGAAGTAAGCTCCTGCTCTTTGACTTGCATAAATTTTCCCTTTGTTTTCTGTTTCTAAATTTGTAAAATGATTTCTTCCTTTCCCCCTTTATGACTTCTCTCGTGATATATGTGTACAAAATTTGACTTACGGTAAAAACAGATACCTCCCATCTTCCATTTTGCCATATTTCCCAAGACAAATAAGATTAAGTTATCTTGCCATTGAGTTTGGCAAGTTAATTATCAGAGTGAAATATCCTGGGGACAGTTGTAAGCAAAATAGCTTTCATACTGCTTGCTCACTACTGCTTTGTTTTATGCTTTAGCAAAGAGGAGAAAGAGATAGCCAGACACAAGCAATTCTCACCAAACTGAAATGTGCAGCAGGTGAGTGAGTCCTTCAGCTTCCTGTATGGTTTGCCTGTCTTTCTACTTGTTAGCTGTCCATAGGGCTCTATTTTTTCTCTCATATTTGACAGACTTTGTATTTCCATACCAGACATGCAAAATTTAATGAAGCTGGTGAGATAGAACTGCTGGTTTTTGCCATCTCTTTCTTCTCCCTGACTTTCTTCAGAGAGGATACCTGTGTGAGTCAATGTAGTTCAAAGGATGCTTGATACAGTCTGAGGATCTTGTTTTACTTCACTAGTGAAGGCACTAGCAACGATGTGGGGGCCTTTCCTACTCCCTAGATTTTTCAATTTTCTCTAGTTTGTATACTGTCATTAAAAAAGGACTAACTTTTTCTGGTTCCTAGGCTTGGCCGAACTAGCTGCCCGGAAGTACAAACAGGCAGCAAAGTGCTTCTTGTTGGCATCATTTGATCACTGTGATTTCCCTGAGGTGAGGACCAAGAGGGAGCTATGTGCAAGTCTTGGAGGGGATGCAGTTCTTCTAAGTATTATGTTGTAAAATTCAGATATTGTAGTTATTCTTGCAGCATTCCTATATAGTTTGGTGGTGCTGTGAATTGTGCTGGTTGGTTGGTTTATTTTTGGTTTAAGTGTCTGTTCTTGGCTTCTCTAAGTGTTCTATTCTAGATCATAAGAGTTACCTGTGAAATTTATAATTCTGTGTTGCTCAATCAACCAAAACCTCCTGAAATTGATGCCTGCTCTCTTAGGAGTATTACTGCTCTGGCCCTGTCATCCCACACAGTGGGTGAGAGCAAGCTGAGTGCTTCCACTGCATTTGATAAGGACTAATCTTGTCACTGCTTGAAAGAAAGGCCTGGGGTAGAAGACTCAATACCACCCTTACACCATTTTGATAGTCAGTGACAGCTTGCTCTGTGTCTCTCCCTGTCTCTGTAGCTGTTATCTCCCAGCAATGTAGCTGTGTATGGTGGGCTCTGTGCCCTTGCTACATTTGACCGTCAGGAACTGCAACGAAATGTTATCTCCAGTAGGTGAGTGATGCCTTGAGTGATGTTTGTATGTAGTAGGCTCCTTTTGGAACCTGGGACTTTGGTTGAGAGTGGATTCTGGCAGCAGTATTTATCGTACAGGAGAGGAAGAATCACCGAGCCTTAATTTGGCTTCAGCATTAAGTGCTGTTTCACTGTCTAAAACAAAATGGTTAATCACAGCTGAAATTTTCTTAGTGTAAATTTCCCACCCAGGTTAAATCCAGCATCTGCATAGCCCAGTTGTCTGTCTCCATCATGCTTCATATCAGATATTAAATCGAGGGACAGTCCTCTGTCAAAGACAGCTGTTAGGATAATTTGCCTTCATGTTGCCCCTTGTTCTGGTGTATGTTAATTGTTAAAACAATTTACTAATTATTAGTACACTTTGGAGTGTAATTTAACTATGACATACAGATAGTTGAGAATTATGGTATTTGGAAGAAAGTGGATATTGAGTGTCATAGATTGAATTGCAATGGCACTGGATTCCTGTCAGCTAGATGTACAGAAGCAGTAATCTTAAATTTCTGTGGAAAAGGGGTTGTTACCCTTTTTATGGGGTGATATGTAGGATGAGATCCCAAGGTTTAAAAATCTGTGATGGTGAACTGGGAGTGTGCTGAGTTAAAGTGTACATCCCTAAGACTGACCACACTCACAATAGCTTGTTTCTCTGAGAAATTGGCATGCTTGACTTGTCTATGGTGTGCTGTACTTAATGAAGGCTGTGCTTTGAAGTGGGACACAGAGCTGGCCAGCATGGACTATAGTATGGCATTTGTTTGTTGCTGGTGTATCCTGATTTTGACCTATTCCCATTCATGACTTTTGTTTTGTGTGGACAAACACTTCTACTACTTGGTTTGTCTTTTGTCTTCCTTCATCACAGCTCTGATGCTGTGCTCTGTGTTCCAGGCTCCCAGCCCTGGTGAAAATGGGCTGTCTGGTCTGTTAGAGGGTAAATTCTTGGAATCTCCAAATGATAGTGAGAGTTTTTAACCTTGTGACTTGGAGTGATGAGGTTATGGGGTATTTAAGTGGCAGGTTCCAATGTCTGATCACTGCCATCTTTATCTGTAGCTCCTTCAAATTGTTTTTGGAGCTGGAGCCACAGGTTCGTGACATCATCTTCAAATTTTATGAATCTAAGTATGCTTCGTGCCTGAAGATGCTGGATGAGATGAAGGTGAGTTGCAGGAGAGCAGTGCAGAGCAGACCCTAAAAGTTCCCTTTGCCTAGCCTTTTGTGAGAAGCTGTGATTGTCAAAGGTAGATACTAAATGTTCAGCTCTTCTGTGTCTCTTGATGTGGTGCATGGAAATTAGGAGTAGTTTATTTGTAGAGAGAAATTATAAACATTTAAAACATATTTCTAATTTTTAAATTAATTCTTGTTTTATTGTATTGTTTTGCTGTAGTATAATATTCCTAAGGTTTAAGTATATATGCATAAATGTTTCAGAACACAGGAATAATATATTTTTCCAGACTGCCTCTCAGCTTTTGCTGTGGTTTATTGTTTTGCAGGACAACCTGCTGCTAGATATGTACCTTGCACCTCATGTCAGGACACTTTATACCCAGATTCGAAATCGTGCCCTTATCCAGGTAATTGCTCCTGTCATCCCAGAGGTGGATGAACAGGGAGATAGGCCATTTCTGTGCAATTGCATTTCCCCTAGTTTCTTAGAGGGTGGAGAGTACAACTGAATATTTTCTTCTTAGTACTTCAGCCCCTATGTGTCGGCAGACATGCGCAAGATGGCCACTGCCTTTAACACGACAGTGGCTGCTCTGGAAGATGAACTCACTCAGCTGATCTTGGAGGGACTGATCAATGCCAGAATAGACTCACACAGTAAGGTGAGTGCATTTCACCCATGGATTAGAGACTGAACTTTCCATTCCTGAGACACTTGGAAGATGCATTCATCTCTTGGGCCTGGTGTGTTCGGTAGGGGTGAGCTGTGTGTGACCTCAGGCTCCATAATGCCTGAGTTGTTTTGCTGCTGTGGAGCCCTGGCACAGCTCCCATGTACAGCTCTCTGTGTTGGTTACAGATTCTGTATGCTCGAGATGTAGATCAGCGTAGCACAACTTTTGAGAAGTCTTTACTGATGGGCAAAGAGTTTCAGCGCCGTGCCAAAGCAATGATCCTGCGTGCCGCAGTCCTGCGCAACCAGATCCATGTCAAGGTATGGGCCTGCTAAACACAGACTCGCAGGCAGGATAAAGATTTTATTTATTTAAGTAAAACTGTGAAAGTTGGTGAATTGAAGATTCTGGAAGGGAGTGAATCTATCATGTTCCTGATTGGACAAATTCTTACAGTAGTTAATACTTAACATATAAGGAACAAGTGTTTTTAGCCAGTAGATTAACCTGTTTGTACAGCTCAGAATCTCCTTTGAAGTTTATATGGTTGGGTTAATTCTGAATAACTCCTTTGGTCCAGTCCTTGATAGACACATCTTTTGCCTTCCCAGTAAAGATTCTTTGAAGTAATTTTTTCAGCAGAGGAAGTAAAAAAAGCATAAATTGTTAGGAGTATTCCTTCTGGATTGCAGTTTGGAAAGGATGCCTTTAGGGAAGATAGGTCATCTGCACAAAATGTATTAATTTCTGTAGTATATTAATCCCCATGATTACTAAATGTCAGATAGGATTCAATTTCTGGGGTCAACAGCACCTTGTACATAGTAAATAAGAGTGGCTTAAAAGTTCTGGTTTGATTTTTTTTTTTTTAGGAAACGTTTTTGTGAACTGTAGAAGTTGTTAATACAAAACCATCATTAATGAACCTGGGGGTATGCTCTCCCCCTGCTGCCATCCTGCTGTGCTTCACCTGTGCTTTATTTTGTTTCTCAGGAAGCAGGCTGCAGAATATTTACACATCACTAACTAGGATGTGTTTTGGTCTTGTTGCAGTCTCCTCCGAGGGAAGGTAGCCAAGGGGAGCTCACTCCAGCTAACAGCCAATCCAGAATGAGCACCAACATGTGAAAAACTTCGTGCACTACCAAAAGAAATGGTCCCTCAGGACTGTACCCAGTGTCTCACCCAGTAACTGCTGAGCTTCACAAACTGTCCCTATCTCCCTCACTTCTTGCTCGGATTGAGAGAGTCAGGGTTGGTGGTGGATAATAAGAATATTCCAGTAACTTCAATTCTCCTTGAAAAGAAATTATTTTTAAAAACAGCATCCCTGCAAATGGGTCATCATTTCAGTTTTGGTAGAAAACCTTCACTCTCCTTCCACCACTCCATAAAGAGCTGTCAGGGTATCCATGCAGATGCTGAGTTGAGAGTTTTTCAGCTGCTAGTAGTTTTCGTGTTTCAAAGCTGCAAAAATAGTTAGTTGAATGGACAGGCACAATATAAGATGAATTTTGCTGGCCTGAAAGTATTGCCTCAATTTTGAGCAATGCTCAGCTTTCTGTTTTCCAAATAAACTTACAAGTGCATTGCTCTCAATTATGGAGCTAGAGTTCTGATGGGGAAAGAGATTTGCTTTGAGAAACTCTTGGAGAATTTTCACCTGTACCAGAAAACATGGCATTGCTTCCATGCATTCAGTCACAGGCCTTTATTTTAGGGTTTTATGTTTATCTGCAGCCAGGTTCTCTCTCTCTCTGGTCTCTGTTTTCAAAGAACTGTTTCCTGATGTGTTTTCCTCTTGTGTGTGACCTGGCTTTAGGGTCCAGTGTTATCATAGCAGTAAATCTCTACTTCATGCAAATATTGCTGCTTGCCCAGTCTTACTGCCATAGTGTGTGATGGTTTCCCCACATGTGCAACAGTTTTTTGGGTAGAATGGACAAATGCCATAAAACACCGCTCAAGTCTTGTGGAAGCCCTAAAAAGAGTCAGTTTAGTGCCCACTCTCCAGGTGCAGTTATTCTGCTTTTCTTTTTATAAAAGGGTTAAAGGTGGCAGCCCAGTGTGTGTGTGTGTGTGTATGTGTGTTCTTCCTGTGTTCATGAAAAGAGAAATGCACTGAATTTTCTGAAGTCACTGCAGCCTTGTATTCATCTAATCCGTAAAGCAAGCTGAGAATTTTGATCCAGCCCTGACTGGTCTGGCAAGTGACTACAGATGTTACTTTTAATGTGTTCATGCTTTTTTAAAAAAATAAGTTGTTATATCTAGTGCATTAAACAGCAGGATTAAAAAACTTCTGAGTATTTTTGGAATTTTGTGTTAAAGTTGGGTTTGAGGTATTTTGATCTCAAGCCATTGATTTTTTGCTAAGCTTCATGATGTTTCACAGGCAATTGTGTTTTGCTTTCCGATCTGGTTGGAGATGTAGCTTGGATATAAAGAAAGTGCAGTTTGAAGGAACATTTGAACAGCAAAATTCTTGTAGCAGCAGTGGTCTCTCCTGGCTTTCCATGCTTTTCATTACTTAGGTACTGAAAATGGAAGCAGTAGTTTCTGTGAGGTCTTTGGTTGCATTTGGCATGGAAAAATTGTCCCATTTTTGAGGGAGAACTTAGTGTGGAGCATGACTGATGGCCAGTGTAGTGAGAAAGGCAAGCTGAGTCCTTGGGTAAATTGCTTTACATCCTTATAAGAAATGCAGGGAAAGTACTGTTATGCTGTCTGTTTGTGCTGAAGGAAAGCTTTTCAGTCCTAAAATGCTGCTCAAACACTCTTGCTTTCTTCCCCGGATGGGCCAGTGATACTTTTTATAAGGAAAAGATGTTACACTCTACTCTTTAGGAGATGGTTTTGCATCCCAGTGCAGCGCACTGTGCCAGGTGGCTGTCTGTGCTCCTGCTTTCAGGATTTTTATTTTATTTATTTGTATCTGTCCCTTGCTGGAGGATTTCTGCTGCAGGACTCCTCGGTGGTCAGTGATGTCTTGAGTCTCTGGGGAGTGATGACTGGAGTCTCTAGACTTCAGCAGCATCACACATCCCTCGGGGCCCACAAGGTGGCTGCAGCAGTTCCCAGCTCTGGCTGTGGCCCGAGGCCATTCTGGAGTGTTGGCAGGCATGGCAAGTTTTCATCCCCCTAGACAAAAGTACTTGCAGCCTCTTTGGGAGTGATTGAGCATTTCTCTTTTATTACATTGGCATCGTGGATGCTTTGTGCAGAATTACTGGCATGTAACTCTCTCCTTAGCCTGTGAAAGAAGCTGCTGTTGCTTTTGGGTCTTGTAGATGGGAGTCAGGGCTGTCCAGGCACGTTTCTTCTAGACATTGTCCAACACCTCCTTCAGTCCTAACTGCCTGCCAGTCTCAAACCCCACAAAATACAACACAGTATGGATATAGTTCTAGGTAAACTGCATTCATAAGCACTCTCCCCCAGTAAAAATTAATATTACCTTAAATTTCTATGTAATTTCCCAAGTAATAAATGGGGAAATAGTGACCCACATGCAATGAATTTTCGGTGATTCCCTGTGACCGCCAAGGTCATTCAGTGGATGAAGTTTTGTGGAATGTGTAGCATGTTGGTGTGTCTAAGATATGATCACAGGGGCCCATTCGTATGGATTTAATGAACTTGTGCAGCTCCTTTTTGTTAAGGAAGTGCCAGTGGTAGGCCATGACAGGTTCCTCATGCAATGTAAATCTGTGTAAATCCTGTTTTATTTACATGACCAAAAATAGTTGGAAAGAACCTTGTTCTTTTGGCAAAGGCAGTTTTAATTAGCACAATCACTCTTAAGTGGCAATATAGAAGCTGCCACTGTGAGATGTGTGTTAGAGTAGTTTGGGGTGATTGGTAATTATCTGCCCAGAACTTGTCCAGCACAGTGTTGCTAAGTTTTGCAGGGGGAGGTCTGTTTAGAGGTGATTATGGACCATGGCTGGTGCAGCATCATCTGTGAGCTGCTTTTGGCTGAAAGGTGTCAGTGGGTGAGGGAGGGAATAACAGAGCTCTGTCTTTGCCCCAGGCCATGTGGGTGTGATCTGTACATCTCTCCTGTGACTCTGCAGCAATGGTCTCAGCATTGTTCCATCCTCTGGATAGCTCCCAAAATTGCCACTGAATAAGGTATTATTTCTGATACGTGCAATGAAATATAAACTTTCAGGGAAAAAAAGAGGACACTTTAATCTGATGAAGACCCATCGTGTATTGGTAGAAAGTACTTGTCAAGGACTGATTCATTTTTCTCTTAAAGTCTCAGCCAAATTAATTTGACTATTTGAGATTCTTCTGCCATCTTCATTACTGTTCATGAAGCAGATAGCAGTGGGGCAGCAGTGTGCTGCACAGGACAGTGCTCTAAGCATTTTTTATATCACCTGCTTGAGACAGCTGAGGCTGAGACAAGTCAGTGTTTCATTTCTCTGGTATTCCATCAGCTGTGAATTTGCAGTAGGGTGAAAAACACCAAACTGGTGTGGAACTGAACTTCTGCTTCCTCTGATGCTGTTAGAGAACAGGGAAAGGATTACTGCCTGCTTTGCAAAAGAGCTTTGTACTTAAAATAATGTATTTTGGCTTCTGTGTTCTTAAGGATCTCTGAACTCCATTCAACATTTCATAGGCTTGCTGTGTAGCTTTAGATTCTCTCATAGGATAACTTGATGAAGCTAAATTAGTTAGAAAGGGGAACAGAAACTGGCTAATAGGTCACGTCAGGCTCTAAGAGAAAATGTACAAGATTCACTAATTAGAAGCTTGATAAATTCATAATGTAATTAATTCTGGCATCAAAGAAATAGTTCAAGCTTGGGCCTTGGTAGAGTTACTAAAGCTACAAACTGAAGGACAGCTGCATTAGCAAGAGATGGTCTAATTCAAACAAGACCTCAAGTGGCAGGACCTGAAAAATCTGGCTTAGGTGGTAGATCAGGCTGGGTATTCTTTTTGTCCCTGACCCTACAGGTACTACTGTTTCAGTTCTCTAAACCTTCAGCTCTAGCTTTGACTGTTGTACTCCCTGTGCCTGTAGTCAATACAACTGACCCCCTGCACTTCAAAGTTTGTACCCCATAAATACATGCTGAGATCCTAGAGTTTCAGTCTTTGTTTTGATGCACTTTTTGTCTTTAAAAATTTTAAACAAATCTTTCTCATATCTCATTTCATAACCTGTTTCTCAAATAAAGGCAATTGGCTTTCTTTTTTGTCAGGTGAAATACCCCAGCTTTTTCTTGTGTGCCTCTGAAAATAATTTAGATGTGAGAACCCTTTTCCTGAAGACTGAGCATCATTTTCAACATCATTCTACGTTCAGGACACTGCCCTTTCCTCCCCCGCTCCATGAAAATTAAATAGTGTATGTCTCCTTAAGGGCCTGTGAAACAGAAACAAAAGATGCCTTGACCTTGCTGAGCTGACAAATGACATTTTTTTGATTAGAGATAAACAGAATAATTAGCATATTGCCTATCCTGAAAGTAATGCCTTGTTAGTGCAGGTGTGCCCAGTGTGAACAGTAAGTGGCTTGGCTTTGCTCATGTTGTAATTGGGCCTCTGAGCTTACAAGCATTGGTCAGTGAGCCGTGGCTCCTCTGGACAGCTTTGCCTTAGTAACTGCAAGGTTGGCATCTTGCATGGCTGCTGAAAGGTCAGCTTGAAACTTTTTTCCGTGAGTGTGGTGATTTGTAGCTGGATGCACAGAGGTGGGTGGGTCTATGCTGCAGTGACAAACTGAGCACTTTTTCAGCCCTGTGAGGCATGTTGCAACCTCCAGCCATGACAGGAGTGGACAAGATAAGGTCTGTCTTTCAGATTGACCTTATCTGCATTTCTCCATTGTGCTTGTTAAGAGATGCCTTGGCATGGGGGGAGGGACAAATATATCTTAAATACTAATTCTTTATAGAAAGGTATCCAATTAGTACTCTGAAGTGTAAGGCCCCTCCTGAATTTAGGAGCTGAAGCCACCTTGACTGTTCCTTCACACTGGGGCTTCTGTGATGACACTGTATTTGTGAGAGGGAGTTGTGATCTAAAATCTCTCTGTGTGGGTAAGAAGCTGAATCTCTCACACAGCCCCAGTTCTCTTGTGCTGGAACTGGCTGTTTTGCCTTTGCAGACTTTAAGCAGGGGAATGACTGAGCTTTCTGATCTTTTTGGGAAACTGTAAATGGGGAGAGGTCAATTAAACAGTTTGAAATTCTAGGATAATGAATATTTAGGTTTTTTACTAGAGGAGAGGGGAACAGACCAGGAAACTCAGAATACTTGACAGCTTCAGCATGTATGGTTGTGCAAGGGAAGGAAGAAGGGGACTATTTCCACATGAGGTGGAAGAGGTGGTTTCAAGTTCCCATCTTTAAAAAAGGGATGCATGTGTAGGACCTGCATCTGGTTTTGTCACACGTCTCTCAGAATTTATCACGTGTGAAGGACAAATGACCACATAATGAAGTATGAGACCTTGAGCAGGGAAATATTAATGGACTTGGTTCCAACTTCCCACATATATTTAGATAACCCTGTTAAAATAGAGACTTCATCCTCCCCCAGCCTTTGGCTCATGGAAGACGGTTACATTGGATCATACTGTAAGAAACTAGTAATTGTTAATGTGGATTTAGCAAGATCTTACGGTTTTACGTTTACATTCCAAGCACTGCTGCTTTCATTTCTGCATTAAAAATGTGGCCTACTAAAACACTAACAAATGTGACACATTTTCTGTTAGTGAGGAAGTCACTGACACTGCTATTTTTAGCATGCCAGAAGGCTAATACAAAGTTCTAATACAATAAATTTAGTTGCCAGTATTAAAAACAGAACATGAAGGGTTAATGAGAATACAGGAGGCAGAGTGTAATGGCAGCTTACAGAAATTGTCTCAACCCAAAAATGCAGCATTTTCAGTCTTTCAAATACAGCATTAGACATTTAATTGCATCTCTTATTTCAAATGCAGGATAATTCCCTGAGTAAGCAGTTTTTTACTTAAATAAAACTTTTCCAGAACTTAAACATGTGGAAGAAGTTGACACAGCTGACAGTGAGCTGGAGATGACACATTCTTTGGCCCAGGGAAGTAGTGTAGTGGGCTGGCAGGAGCTCTTGGACTGTTCATTTCCAAAGCTTCACCCTGTACTGTCACCAGCCTCCTTCAGCACTGCTGTCTCCCCCACCTCTGCATCTCCTCCCTGACTGATCTCTGGGGTTTGAATTCCTCTTTGACTGTGCTGCCATGAAAGGGATTTTTCATACTTGGTCTTAAAAAGTAATCCATGACCTGAA